CTCGTTAATCCTGATCCGCCTAATAATGCTAACCTAACCGGAAGTCGAAGAATCTGTGGCATAAAATAAATTTTGATGCCTTTGATGAACGGGGAAAAAAGAATTAGCGGATTAGAGATTTCGGGAAATTAATTTAAAGGATAGGAATTTGAAGTGTAAAACTGTAAAATTTAGAATATAAGAAATTTGAAAAAGTACAAGTATCTATAGAAATATATAAAAATTTAGAATCTAAAATATAAGAATCTCGAATACTTGAAATTCTCTATTCTATCATTCACTGAATAATTTTACAAAAGCAAAGATCGATCGTTTTTCGATATTATTTTTCTACTTTTCCAATAAAAATTCAAAAAACCGTAAGAAAATGATACACACACGTGGAGGAGAAGCGTGCGTCCGGTTTCAACAAAGCGTGCAAAACGTGGGGATGATCGTTCTACGTGATCCTCGATCGCAATTGTACACGGGACATGATTATCGGCCGATCGGAATAATAATTGTAATCATCGTTGGGAGATAATGACGACGAGAGCTACAGAGAAGCTTGGATGCCAGAGGTGACACACACGACACACGTGACACACGATCGTCCACACCTAGTATGCACGTCGAAATAAAATATCGTGTAATAAACTCGAAGGCGAAGAAAACCGGGATAATCGCGTAAACGAATAATGCGCATCCTTTATTCTTTCTTACAACGAAGTTATATTGCGTCTGGAATATTTGATGAATCTATCCTACTAGTTCGTTTGAATACGTTCGAATGTAATATCAAGATGTTGCTCGACTTCGTTCCCGACCTTTATGAATCTTGTTTCATTACAAATGTAACTGCGAGATGGATCGACTATAATAACGATTCGTTTAACTGTACGGCCTTCGTCTGAACTGTATTGACATTTAATATTTTACGATGTGAATAAAACTCGTGTTTATTTTATAACGCGATATGTACTCTATATGTATAAATATCTGATTTTTAAAAATCTGTTCTTTTCCCTTCTTTAGAAAATTACCATTCATTAACTTTCGAATCCGATACTAAGTTTCTTATTTTAATTCTTAATCGATTTAAGAAAAATATATACTCTCGTTCTTTCTTTCGTCAACTTTTGTCAATAAATGCACGTATAAATTTTAATAATTAATTCCTAACGATTATCAAACAAAAATTACGAAAAAAACATGTCTCGATTAATGATTAACAATATTAGATTGTTCCTGAGATTCCGTGGACAGGTGTCTAGAGGTTAGGTTAGGAGCCAAACGGTTTAGCACGAGAGAATCCCGGGAACGGGCGAGCGACCCTGAGATTTCGATGCTATCTCGGTCGATCCTCGATCGAAGGACATCTCGATTGACCGAGTTGGAAAACAATGCACCGCGGAGGACGAGGGATGCCGGTGGAGGAGATCGGTTTATTGCAAATTATCCTGACCTGGTGTAATTACCAGGCGAAACGACGATGCTTCTGATAGGCAAAGGGGCCACGGTGTCGTTCACGATCATCGTTGGCCAAGTATCGAACGGTACAGAGACGATTATGGAAACGTCTGTTGCTGAGAACGCGAACGCAAACGCTTCGTTGTTGACTCAAGCTTTTAAGACTGATGAGCCTCGATTCCGACTGGAAATTACTCGACACAACGCCTTTGCCTTCTCTGGAACGGAGAATGAAAACAAGATGGGGATTGTGCGATGTGGAATTTGATAATTTTTGATAAATTGATTAGTGGAATTTGTTTGTTCAAATTTTTTTGAAAAAGAGATCTCCATCAATTATTTGAGTCGTTATAATAAATATTTTAGTACACAAAAGATTCTATAATTTATGTATAAAAATAATTCAGACATAATTCAATCGAAAGTTTTAAATATAAAATGCTTCTTAAATTACATGAATCATTTTCAAGAAAAATTATACTTACACAAATTAATTAAGTCCACTTATTTAATTAATTTCTCTGGAAAAAAAAGTTCTGCATGCAATAATAAACGTATCACAATTTTTCCTATATATGCTAATAAAGAATCGTAAACGCGCGTAATTGGAGAAAATTAAGATCAAAGGTAAATGGGAACTCGAGATGTACGAGGAGGTCGGTTCAAAGATTATGCCCTACAAGGACCTCTCGCTCGCGGGTTCAAACCGCTCGACTACTTCGCTGGTCACCGATCTTGGTATGAGGAAGAGAAACAGGAAGAATGAGGTACGAGGTCCTCGCACTCGAGAGAGGACTTCGGAGTGGTCTGCCACTTCTGAACATTGTTAAAGTCTGTCCAGATACGAGATCCTCGTGGATAGATGCGTATTGTTCCCCAAATTTTTTTTTCTCATTCGATGAAATTAAATTAATAAATATTGTTCTGCCTTTTTGATTTTTTTCTTTTTTGGTACATCCTCTGTTTCTCTTCGATGAAGATTTTTTGTTAGTTATTAGAAATTATTATTGGCATTTCTTCGTGATATTTTAATTGAAAGCCAATTGAAAGATATATAATAGAATTATATAATAATTTTGAGCAAGACAATTGACATTTAATAATTCAATTAAAAAAATATAAAATTACGTAAAACTGTATACTATTGATGGATGCTAATCATCATCATATATCAAAGATATACGTATGTGTATACATATTAAAATTAAAAAAAAAATCAATATGATTAAATTTCTATCAATATCTTTTCCTGCTCAACCATGTCAGCTGTTTGATATTTAATATATATATATATAAAATACAAATTATAAATAATTTGATAGATTTATTTATATATCTGAAAATTAGAAAGTTAGATTAATTTGACGTATAGACAGATTTAATTTTTTTGATTAATTTATCATCGATTCGATAAATCTATCTCTTACTTCATTCTCCACATGGTTATATCATGTTTATATTTTATTTTCACTTGTAATTATTTAATGTTATCAACCAGTTCCACTAATTAATCTAATTTTAATCTCATACCGTAATTGCACAAGCTTTCACACGCTCGCATCGAATGCTCAAATAATTTACCAAGGGTTAAACAAGATCTCGATGATGATAGACGGGTTTAATGTCTATAATTGCTCGGTAGTGGGATGATCAACCATCCGATGATTAATTGGCAGATCCGTCCACGGAAGTGAATACGCGTGATTCGAGCAAATCGATATTCGAACAAGATGAAGCGAAACTTGTTACACCGTTTTCCTTTTCTATCACTGGAACTGGCGAAAGAAATCCTCGAGGAAGAGATTCTCGATTTCATCGAGTGTTCACAGTTACAAGCTCAGATGTTTCTTCAAGCTGCTGTTACGCGTGGAATTATCGGCATGCACCGTTTCCATCTTCTTTTTGGCGCGATAAATCAAGAGGCACGTGTTAATCGTTGCGTTAATGACGATGGCTATTGATGCATGCTCGAACGAAATAAACGATATTCGAAAAAAGAAGAAAGATACGTTTCGAAGCGTAA